GCAGTGTCACTGGCCCTCATATGTGGGATCCGAACCGGGGCCCTCTGGCATCCCAAGCCAGTTCTTAACCATCGCGCCACTCGGCCGGCCCCAAAGATTTTTAATGATCTCTCCTTCACACATAAACAAAAGCCCGGGGGAAAAGATACTATACAGACTGCGTAAGAAAAGGGCTGATGTGATGTGTTTCTAAAGATAATGTTGGAAGCACCGTGTAAACTCTGCCTCCTCTTTCCAGATCAAAGGAGTCCCTCGAAAGGTGTGTCTTAAGGAAATTAGCCATATGCTGTCTACTTTTAACCTGCTAGACAAGCGAAATGCATTTCCAGAGTCGCTGAGTGGAGGACTGAAGCGCAAACTCTCCATCATGATAGCACTTATAGGAAACCCCAAGGTACGAGTGACATAAAAGCTAAATATGTCTCCCCACTGAAGCGCTTCTAGAAAACATCCGCTGACACAAACCTGAGAGCAGATGTGTATCTAACCATCTAAACGGAACCTCCCAGATGAAACCCCTGATGGGTTCACATTATCCACCTTGTTGGGGTATAAAATGGTCCTAAGTTTGGAATTATTCTAGCATTCCTAATTCAGTTTTCGTCTAAACTTAACTATCTTAACTCAATGGGACAGTGACTGAAAAAGCAAAGCCAGAGTAAATCCCATGACTGGTAGGACCCCAGTAGCCCTAGGACGTAATGTCTGACAGCGGTCACAGAATCGTTCCTCTGGCCTTTAGGTGGTGATACTTGACGAGCCAACAGCTGGCATGGACCCCCTCTCGAGGAGAGCCACCTGGGGTCTCCTTCAGCAGTACAAACAGGATCGCACCATCTTACTGACCACCCACTACATGGATGAAGCTGACATCCTGGGTGACCGCATAGCCATCATGGTGAAGGGATCCCTGCAGTGCTGTGGTTCTTCCGTCTTCCTGAAACACATATACGGTCTCTCTCCCTTTGATCATTCTGTCAATATTGATGCCGTAATAATATGACTCTAACATAATTTTCATGGATATTGATATCTTAAGAATCTTCTAACATATTTTCAGTTTTGGGGTTTGTTTGGTTTTGTTTTTTTTGCGGGGGAGGGGAGTCTATCTACCTGAAACTTCAGTTATCCCCTCTGTTCTATTAATTGGGCTCAAGTATGAGTCCTTTGAAAGAATGGTCATATTTTAGTTCTTCCAAAATTTTGCGTTATCCAAATTTCATGTTCATTTCTTTCCTAGGGTGTCTACTTAGATTGTAATTTGCCTGACTGCAGCTAGTGCCTTCAGTGAGCTAGCTAGATAGACAGAGAGACACACAGATGGCAGATGGATGATGAATACACAAATTCATGGAGTCTAGGGAAAATGCAGGGAACTAGATATCTCTGTTTCTTGCGTCTTGTTTGTCAAACCAGTATTGAATTGCTTCTGTGTGAGCAAAAAGAATTTATTCCAATCTGTAGAAGAATTTTTCTAAACATGGAAAATTGCAACTATGTCCTTATAGCATCCTTACCTCTAAATTACTCTGTGAAGTGTCAAAGTTGGTTGCTTGTATTTTTTTATTGTAAATTTATAGGAGGTCACATATTCTGGATGTGAGTCCTTTGTCAGATATATGGGTTGTGAATATTTCCCCAAATGTGTTGCTTGCCTATTCATTTTTTATGGTACCTTTTAATAAGCATAAGTTTTTAATTTTGAAAAGTCCAATTTATCAGTGGTTTTCCTTTTTTGGTCAATGTTGTTTTGCAAACCTTTGCCTATGTAAAGGCTGCAAAGACATTCTCTTATATTTTCTTCTGGATTCTTTATGGTTTCAGTTTCTAAAGGTTTATGGTCTATTTCAAGTTGATTTTTTTGGCGAATGGCGTTAGGCAAGTGTTGATGTCATTTTTTTTTCCAATCTGAGTATCCAGAGCTATTTGTGGAAAACATACTCCTTTCTCTGTTGAATTGCTATGGCACCTTTGATGAAAATCAATTGACTGTTTGTATGTAGGTCTACTTTTGGGTTTTCTATTCTGTTTTCTCGATCTACACTACAGGTCTATCTTTTTACAAATACCACAGTCATGAATAACTGTGTCTTTATAGTAAGTCTTGAAAATAGGTGATATATGTCCCTCAACATTTTCTTTTTCAAAATTAGTTCACCTGTTTTAGGCCTCTTTTAGTTCCATGTAAATTTTAGGATCATTTTGTCCTATTTTACAAAAAAAGCCTGGCAGCATACTGATTGGGATTGCTGTGACTCTTTATATCATTTTGAGAAGAATGGTCTTCTTAATAATATTGAGTCTTCAATATATGAACATGGTATTATTTCTTGATTTATTTAGAGTCAATTTAATCACTTTTTAGTGTGTTTTGTTGTGTTTACTGTGAAGGCCTTTCATTAGACTTATTGCAAACTATTTCATTTTTTAATTTTATGTGAATGTTATTTATTGACTTCGTTTTATAACTGTGCCTTTTCTAGTATTTTGATACACAGTGGTTTTTTTTATTGATCTTATGTCCTATGAACTTGTTTGTTCATACATTAGGTCTCATAGTATTTTTGTAGATTCTATGCAAAATCCTGTCACCTGTGTATCACAAAGGTTTTACAGGCATAAAAACAGACACACAGATCAATGGAACAGAGAAGAGAGCCCAGAAATAAATCCACGCATATATGGTCAATTTATATATGACAGAGGACTCAAGAATATACAATGGGTAAAGGACAGTCAATTTCGTAAAGGGTGTTGGGCAAACTGGACAGCCACATGCAGAGGAGTGAAATTGGAATGCTCTTCTACCATACACAGAAATCAAATCAAAATGGATTTATGACCATTCAAGTCAGTGCCTTTGTTTTCTTCAGATAAATACCCAGAAGTGGAATTGCTGGATTATATGGTAGCTCTAGTTTTAGTTTTTTCAGAAACCGCATACTGTTTTCTGTAGTGGCTGCACCATTTTGCATTCCCGCCAACAGTGCACAAGAGTTCCCATTTTTCCACATCGTGCCCAATACTTGTTGCCTCTCTCTCTCTCTCTCTCTCTCTCTCTCTCTCTCTCTCTCTCTCTCTCTCTCTCTCTCTCTCTCTCTCTCTCTCTCTCTCTTTTTATTAGCTATTCTAACAGGTATAAAGTGATATCTCTTTGTGGTTTTGATTTGATTTCCCTAATGATTAGTGATGTTGAGCATCTTTTCATATACGTCATGACCATTCGTGTGTCTTCTTTGAGAAATGTCTCTTCAAATCTGTAACACACTTTTAAATCAGGTTATTAGAGTTCCTTATATATTTTGGAAATGAACCCTTTATCTGACGGAGTGTTTACAAACACTTTACCTTCCAATGCATAGGTTGCTTTTCCATTTTGTTGATTGTTTCCTTTGCAGTGCAGAATCTTTTTAGGTTGATGTAGCCCCATTTTGCTATTTTTGCTTGTGTTGCCTGTGCTTTTGGTGTCATATCCAAAAAAGGCTATTGTCAAGATCAATGTCAAGATGCTTTTCCACAATGTTTTCTTGTAGGAATTTTACAATGTCAAGTCTTAGGCTTAAGTCTTTAATACACTTTGATTTGATTTTTGTGTATGATGTTAAAAATGGCTCCGCATTCTTTAGCACATGGATATCCAGTTTTCTCAATGCCATTTGTTGAATAAACCATCTTTATTGTGTATTTTTGGCACCCTGTTGAACATCAATTTACCACATACGTATTGGCTTATTTCTTGGCTCTGTATTATGTTATATTGGTCTATTTTTCTCATTTAATGCCAGTAGCATACTGCTTTAATTACAATTGCTTTATAATATATTTTGAAATCAGAAAGTGTAATACCTCCAGCTTTCTTTCTCAAGATTGTTTTGATTATTCAAGGCCTTTTATGTTTCCAATTAATTTGATGAGTTTTCTATTTCTGTAATAAATGCCATTGGGTCTGATAGGGAATGCATTGAACATTTTAACAACATTTAAGTCTTCCAATTCATGAGCACGAGATGTTTTCCCATTTGTGTCTTCATTAATTTCTTTTATCAGTGCTTTTTAGTTTCCAGTGTACAAGTCTTTCACCTCCTCAGGTAAGTTTAATCCTAAGTATTTTATTCTTTTTAATGCTATTGTAAGTAGGATTGTTTTCTTAATTTCCTTTTCAGATTGTTCATTGTTAATATGTGGAAATGCATATGATTTTGTATGTTGATTTTCTATCCTACCCATTGCTGAATTTATTTATTAGTTCTAACAGATTTTTTTGTGGCATTGTTAGGGTTGCCTACATATCACATCATGTCATCTGTAAACAGAGACAATTTTTCCTCTTCCTTTCTGATTTGGATACCTTTCCCCCCCCCGTTTCTTGCCTAATTACTCGGACTTTCGCGACTATGTTAAATAGAAATGGCGAAAGTGGTTAACCTTGTCTTATTTTTTTTTTAAGATTTTTTTTTAATTGGGGAATTGGGGGGATGGGAACAGCGCTGGGGAATGGAGAAAGGGGAGCAGACAAGTTGCTGTCATTTTGTTCTTCAGTCTAGTTGTGGAGGACGTTGCTTCACTGGCCCACGTTGGCACCATCATTGCGCTCTTCCTGGGAGAGGCAGATCAGTCACCGGCTTCTGGACGGCCGCTCACTGCGGCTGCTGGCTACACACAGTAGCCCATGGCAACCCACTGCAGCAGGGGCTGCAGCCTATGCTGTTGCCGTCGACTCATGGCAGCCCAGCTCCAGATTGAGCTGTTGTTCAGCATCTTAGCTGTGGAGGGCAGTGTCACTGGCCCTCATATGTGGGATCCGAACCGGGGCCCTCTGGCGTCCCAAGCCAGCTCTTAACCAACGCACCACTCGACTGGCCCTTGTATTATTTCTGATCTTAGAGGAAAAGCTTTTGGTTTTTCACCACTGAGTATGATATCAGATGTGAGTTTGTCTTATGTGGTATTTATTATGTTGATTTTATACCAGATTTGTTGAGAGTTTTTATCATGAAAGGGCATTCAGTTTTGTCAAGTGCTTTTTCTGCATCTATTGAGATGATCATGTGATTTTTTTTATACTACAAATGTGTTATAATTCTGTTTTTAATTTGTTCATATGTTGGACCATGTTTGCATACCAGGAATAAATCTTATTGGATCATGGTATTTTTCTTTTAATGTGTTGTTTAATTCAATTTGCTAGTATTTTGTTAAAGATGTTTACATTTGTGTCTATCAAAGATATTGTCCCATGGTTTTCTTTTCTTGTGCTTTTTCTGGGTTTTGTATCACGGTAATACTGGCCTCATTTTATGAGTATTATTGTACTCTTCAGGTTTTTTTTGAATTATGAAGAATGGTCATAAATTCTCTTTTAAATACTTCATTAAATTCCTCAATGAAGCTATCTGTTCCTGGGATTTTCCTTATTGGCAGATTTTTTTTATTATTGATTTATTCTTCTTACTAGTGATAGATCTGTTTAGACTTTATTTCTTCATGATTCAATCTTGATAGATTATATTTCTAGGAATTTACCCATTTTACGAGGTTATCTACTTTATTGGCATATAATTGTTCATAGTACTCTCTTATCATCCTTTTTACTTTTATGACATTAGTCGTAATGGCTCCTATCATTTCTGATTTTTAGCCATTATTTCTTTGAGTAAAACTTCCTGATTTCTTCTCTCTTTGTGTCACTTTTCCTAATGGGACTCCCATATCGTGTATATTGCTCTACTTATGGTATCTCATTAGTCTCTTAGGCCTTATATACCCTTTTTCATTCTTTTATCTTTCTGCTCCTCTGAGTGAATAATTTCCAGTTACTTGACTTAGAGGTTACTCATCCTTTTGTCTGTTTTATGTATTCTCCTTTGAACCCCTCTAGTTTTGCTATTTTTCAATTCAGTTATTGTAATCTTCAGCTCTGTGACTTCTTTTTGATGCTTAGGTTTTCTATTTCTTTGTTGAAACTCTTAATTTTCACATGTAGTGTTCTTCTAACTTTGGTGAGCCTCTTCATGATGGATATTTTGAATTCTCTAGTAGGTAAATCATACATCTCCATTTCATAGAGTTAGATTCTGGAGATACATTTTTTTCTTTTTTGGAAAATATCTCTGTTCTGCTTCTATTGATTTTTCCATCATTTTTCTTGCTTGTTTGCATGTTTTGTAATTGTTATGACTGCCATTGTGAATAAAATAACAGTAGAGAATAAAATAGTTGATATTTATTCTCAGACATGGGTATGCTCTGTTATGTTAGGCCACTATTATAGATGACTGAATCTGTATAATCTGTATTTGAGGAAATACTGGGATGTGTTACAGCTTCATTTAGATTCTGTTTATTGTTGTCTTCACACGTTTTAGGAATGGGATCAGGATTTTGCTCTTAGCAGGGGTGAGGATCTGTGCATGGATGGGATTATGGAGATCTCTTTAAGCTATCATCTAATTTCCAGCTTTTTTGACCTGCCAAGTCCTCTCCGTTCTCCATCCCTGCACTGTGCTTTCTTCACCTTGAAGGACTTCTCTTTCTCCTACTACCTTGTCCCAAACTTTTGAAGGGCCTTTGTAGTCCTTTGTAGGACTGAGGTACCCTAGAGGGATTTCTCTCAGCTTCTTTGTCCTGCCCTGGGCTATCAGAATGCCACTGCCATGTTTTTCAGAAAGTCCTGGAGTGCCCCAGATGTATTTTTCTCCACTACCCTATCCCCCACCCGCTAGCTTCTGAAGGCTGCTACACTGTACCTGATGAAGGTGCTGAGTACTCTGCAATGATTGATCAGATCTCCGTAGGAAGAGATTTTTGGCTGATTTATTTACTGCCTTGCATATAATAGGCACCCAATAAATATGTGTTTAATGAAATACATCTTGTCCTCGCAGATTTCAGTGTCAACAGGTCAAGAGGCTAGACAACAGAGGCTGTTCATTCTATATGTGTTCTCTTGGTTTCTAAGAAAAGTAACGAAATTGCAAAAGAGCTCACTCACTACTAGGCTCTTTAGACCTGTAATCAAATGATTTCTGACATGCCCTACCTTCTTCCTGTTCACCCAAACCATGGAAAGTTAGGGGGAGTCTCACAAGAATAAGGGACAGACAAAATTGTTTTCATTGTTCTTCCAAATGGATTTTCTCAGGTGTGGGATACCACATATTCATGGTGAAGGAACCTCACTGTAATGTTGAAGAAATCTCCAAATTGATTTATTATCATATACCATCAGCCATTTTGGAGAAGGATGTTAAAAATGAATTATCTTTTATTCTACCCAAAGAGTACACACACAGGTATGGATTAAGAGGGTGCTAAAGGTTGATGTTTAGATAACAGGAAATCACTGTTGCTGTTCCTCGTTTTTTCAGGCTTAGCAGGTAGAGTTGAACAAGTCATAATGCATAGCTGCCACTTGCACCGAAGACAGGGATGCCTTCTAGTGGCTATAGTGTCCTATTTATTCTTGACGATAACTGATGTATATTGTTGGTAGAGTAAAAATTGTGTGGTGAGTGGAGTACCTGGAAATATTAAGATCATGAGAGGAAAAAAATGCCATTAGTGGTGGCTCTTGAAACCAGGGTGACAAGAACCCAGAGGAAATAGGCATTTTTACTGCACTGTTTGTTGCCATGTTATTCACCATAGGGAGTCACAAAGAATAACAACTTTACTTGGCATAACCATCCTAAACAATTGAAATGGAAACTAAAAGTACTCATCTGTGACTTTCAGAGTATGGTCCCTTCATCTTCTTGTCACATACAAATAAGTGCTTGCTTTGCTATTCCCTGGAGTCAAGCCAGTTGTCATATTGAGGAGAATATGAAGGACTTCAACTTCTCCTCTTCTAGGAAAAAGAGGAATGTGCCAAAAAGATAAAGGGAAAAAAAGGAACAGCATTCCCTGAACTTTTGTTTAGGAATCTGAAGGTTTTTTAGAAGCAAGAAACAAGGTGATTAGGCTGTGGAATAGAACCAAGACCCTCCTCAGAAGCTAGAATGAAAGACTGAAATATCACAGAGAATTGAAAATAAAATTCTCGATATGTATCCTTGGAGATAAGTTGGTCATTGACTCATTCAGCAAAGGTGGGAACCAGGTGGGAGCTTTGGCCCATTGTGATGGTTGTGACCCAGGTGAAGCTGCAGAATCTCTCTTGGAGACAAAGGCAAAGCACCTGTTTAAATATGTCACACTGCCTGCCTATCCTCATTTATATGGCAACAGAAGACATTCTCAAATGAGTGTCTGAAAAAGGAAAGGAGAGGATTCAGAAGCCAGTGATGTTTCATCCTATTTTATTGTATCTTCACATTGGGAAGCAGGTGATGTTAATCATATCTCTTTACCAATCATTTGGACTTGGAGGACTGAAAAAGACAGAAGATCTTAGAGGTGAAACAACTTATTGTAGGTTGCTGTGCCATAAATCTACGGCACCTCCTCCATTTTCCATTTTCAAGTGTCTTTTGTTCTCTGTTGACTTGGGTGTGATTTTCTTTTTTGATTCACTGAATCATTGACTAAGGAACCATAGTGTATATGTGTGTGATAAGTCATGTCAACTTGCTGGGGTTATTAGCATGTCCATGGTCTCTTGATAGTTTCTTAGAAGACCAAACTGACATGTATCCAGAAACTAAGTTGAGTGGGAAGCAATCTGCCGTAGCAATTTGCTAGTGTCTTTTTTTTCTTTTTACCATTTCCCCCACTTTTTGATTTACTAGAGGCATAAAATTATAATAAGCGTTGATGTGAAGAATGATCTACATTTTCCCCACCGCTTGGGTGGTGGCCGGGGGGGGGGGGGGGGTGGAATTCATTTACAAGAAAACTGTGTAAATAAGAAAATCTTCTGATTTGATGCTAGCATTTTCCCCTTCCCATCCCCCTTCCCATTCTTCTAATTAGTATTATTTTATTCTAGCTTTGAAGCTCTGTTTACTGATCTAGAAAAGAGACAGGAAGAATTGGGCATTGCCAGCTTCGGCGCCTCTATCACCACCATGGAGGAAGTCTTCTTTAGGTGAGCAACAATCTAGAGGGAAAATAAAGACACTGAGGAGACCGAAGGACCCCGTCTCTGTCCTCTTTGTAAACTTATCGAACTTTTCGGATTCACACACTTAAGAGGTGGAAGGGTACAGCATAGGGAATACAGTCAGTGGTACTGGAATAGCTCTATGCGATGTCAGAGGGGTAGTAGATTAGGGGAGGGGGATTATCACTGTGTGAGGGGTGTAAATGTCTAAATTATTACATTGTTTGGTACAAAATGAAACAAAACTATAAAAAACTATAAATATATAAGTTTAAAAAACTATATATATATATATATATATATTTTTTTTTTTAAAGAGGTGGAAGGGGAGGGACCTGACATTTCTTTTACAATAAGAACATTGGGAAAAAAATATATATATCACCATCATCATTTTTTAAAGGAATGGATATTGTAACTTACCCAAAGTATGAATTAGACTTTAATCTTTAACCTCAGTGAGTTCAACTGAATGAAACAGTGCATTGCCCTTGACCTTCTCCCTTCACTGTGGTCTAGTGCAGTCCCATGACTGGCATTTGGGAACCACTGGTCTACCACAGTTATCACGCTGCCGTCATATAACCCATATACTGTATTTCCCCATGTAGAAGATGCACCCTTTTTTGAAAAATGTGGGGTCTAAAAACTGGGTGTGTCTTCTACATGGGGAAATACGGTACTATCAATCAGTAAGCAAACCAGGGAGTCTTTTGCTTTGGGTGCTATGACTCACATTCTCCAAATTAGATATGTTGGGATAAGGTTGAAATGAAATACTTGTGACTTTTTTTTTTTAATATAGGGTCAGTGATTTGGAAGTTTCACACACAGATATCATACCTACCCAACCTCAGCCTCCCTCGCTGATGAATGAAGTGTCCATCACGAACCAGAATAGGAATATATCCGGAAATTCAACATATCCTTCCACCGTGAATGACAGCCCTGCTATTAAGTTTAATACTGGGGTAAGCATCTTTCCTAAGAAACCTGGTGTGTGTTTGGTTGGGGCACAAGAGGTACATTTTTTTTTTAAACACTTGAACAAAAGGAGTGGAATTCTCAGTCATGGCAGACCCAACCAGACATAGAGCAGCCTCATTAACATCCTAATGCAGTAGTAAGGAGCTCCAGATAAAGATCTCAGCTGTTATTCTCAGACTGTCAGTTCTCAGTTCTTTTTTCTTTTCTGTTTTAGAATTCTTTCTTTTTTCCAAACTTGATAGCCCAGAAATGGATGAGTTCATTGAAGCTGGAGCAAGCATGATACTTAATAATCAAGCGTGCTCAATATTTTAAGTTTTTGCAGTGGGAATTGACATCACATAAGGAGTTGTTCTCTAATCAGTACGTTTCTCAGTGTGGGAAGTCTCCTTGAGTTGCCCAGCATTTAATTGTCCTTCTAATTATCGATTCCTTCGATAAAGCCCCCTGGTTTTCTTGACTATCAGAAGTCTGAAGAATGTCATCTCGTTGAGATTTTAAGTATGTTCTATCAATGGCCAGAACGTAAATGTTTTATTCAATACCTGTAGCAAAGTCAGCAAATTTTGTGCAAGGAGCTAATAAACACATAGGGCTGTGTTGCACTCGCTCAACCCCGTCACTGCAGCAGAAAGCAGCCGTAGACAATACAGAAGTGAATGGGCGTAGCTGGGCCGGCCCCGCCTTGTATGAACAAGAGACGGTCCACACTCATGTGCCTTATCATTCCGTGTTTGGATTTTGTTCCAAGTATTTGTTCCTGTAACCCTCCTGTGTCTGCTACCGCGAAAGTCCAAAGTGTTCATCTTCACTTCCACGGGAACAGCCTGTCAATCTCTGTGACTGTTTGTGATGTTATGTCTCTCTCTCCTTTCTTCAGTGTGCCCTCTACCAGCAGCAGTTCTGGGCCATGCTCATAAAAAGGGCCATGTTCAATTGGCGCAACAAGAAACTGATTTTGCTGCAGATGCTGGCTCTGCTAGGCTCCCTTATATTTCTCTCCGAGATCAAGACGTTTTCATACAACAGCAATAATGAGAAGGCCAGACTCATGGATCTGAGTCAATATGGCCACACCATTGTGCCTTTTTCTGTTTCTGGGAATTCTAATTTGACTCTGGTTTTCTTAAAACATCTTAAGAGTATGCTGGAGCCTGACAAACACACACTTAAGGAAGTGCAAGGTAAGGCTCCCCAAGGAGAGAGAAAAGACCTCTCTTAGATGAAAGGCTCCTTGTGTGACTTGTAAAGAAGGATCGTAACTGAATAGTCTGCCACTTGTGCCATTCTTTTCCTGTTAGTTGCCGATTTTATAGAGGCAGCTCAATTAGAGGAGAATGGCAAATGTTTGAAATAATCATTATGAGAAAATGGAAAGGGCTAAGAACCAAGTAAAATTATTTGTTCTTTTTCCCCAGTATATACTGTAGATGACCTGTATTGTGGATGAACTGACCAATAATATTGTTTCCTCATCCTAGGTGACCTACTGGAATACTTGATGGAAAATGAAGATTGTATTCACGCATGCATTGTTGCATTTTCCATTGAGGTGACGGCAGATAAAGTCATATTTACTGGTCTGTTCAACAATCAAGCATACCATTCACCATCCCTGGCCTTGGCAATGTTAGACAACGTTCTTTTCATGTCCGTTTCTGGCCCTGAAGCTTCCTTAACCGTCTCCAATAAACCTCAGCCATACTCTAGTGACAATGAACACAGTGACACGTATGTTGAGATTTTCATTAACATAGACTTTTGCCCTTGAAATGCATTTCTCCTGCTCTACCTGATGATCTTTATATGACTAAGAAATAGTAATTGATAGCATTCTGGATTTTCTGCTATATTAATTTTTTGATACGTCTACTTTTGTTCCTTCTTCTGTAGGTTGTCAGAAGAAAACAAGTTGGCCTTAGATATACATTTTGGCATGGCTGTTTTGACCAGTGGCTTTTGTCTCCTGACAGTGACTGAGAGAGTCTCTAAGGCAAAGCACATCCAGCTTTTGAGTGGGGTCAGTATCCTTGTGTACTGGCTGTCTGCTCTTCTGTGGGACCTCATTATCTACTTCATTACCTGCTGCTTACTACTGGTGAGTGTTAGCATTTCTCGGGGGCTCATTTTTCTTCTGTACCCCATGGAAAATTCCTGTTCTCCAATTATGTCATGGACCCTAACTCTGCCGATAAACTCTCTTTGCTCATTATCTTAGAAAGCACATTGTAAAAGTCTCATGGGAGGAACTTTCCCTTTCATAGTCCTTCACCAGAAGAAAATAACTTTTCTTTGCAAAAGCACCTGTCATGGACTAGTTTCCCATTTATGTTTTCATCCGTTTATGCTGACCCACAAAACCAATTTTACCACAGGCTTATTGATAGACACAAGCATTGAGGTCCTACATTCCTAAGGCATCTCATCTACCTTCTAATGTTGAATGTGAAATGACATCATTAGAGGACCTGCTGTACTATATTTTAGTATTTAGTGTCTTAGTATTTAGAAATCACACTGTCAAGAAATACAAAGAAAAGAGTGTTTATGGTAAAAGTCAGAATAGTGGTTACTTTTGCAGGAGTTGGGAGAGTTGACAATAGGTTTCTTTGGGTACTAACGTTGTGGTAGTTGCCCACAGGGTAATTTGGCTATAATTCACTGGAATAATTCATATGTGTGTTACATTCTCTTTCAGACATGTGTGACATTTCATAATAAAGAGGTTAAAATAGTCACTTGAACACCTTGTTTGCATGGTCTCTTAAGGGTTAATTGGGGTAGACTCTCCATCACCACAATGCATAGTCTTCTTGTCCAAGGACAGTGTATATTGCTTATTTATCCATCAAGGAATTCGGCTTTTCCTTGAAATAGGTTATGGTTTGTGTTAATGAAGGATTACAAACCTTCAAACACAGGGATTCCTAGATCATCCCAACTTTTCTTGGAGTACTTCATTGTAGTTATTCTGTTTAGGTGTACAGTAATCTTACTCAGAAGCAACAGGTATTGGATTCAACTATGACCTACTAACCCTCTCTTACTGTTGCCGCCATCACCAAGAACACCAGTCATCAAGGGAATAAACTCTTCTTAGTTTAACCTTACTACTTACTCCTTCATTCCCCTGCTTCATAATTATGCAGTTGCCCGAAGGTACAACTTAGGCATTTGTAGAGAAACTGCACTATTCACTAATAAGATTCAGATTTCCAGACATTTATTTTCTTTAACAACTGCAAGTTCATCACCACTACCACCATCCGTTTAATTTAGGTCCCTCTAATTTTGTGCTTCACTGTCTGCTTTTCAATTTCAATTACAAATTTAAGAAGGAGGTCCCAGAGTTGCTGAGGTGAATGCGATGGGAGTGAGACGGGAGGCAGAACAGAAACAGGAGACCCAGTTTCAAGGTGGATAGCAGTGATAGGTAGGGTATGTACGTGCTCAAGAGGAATTTTTTTTTAAAGAAATGGACTCTCTTTAGAGAAATAATCTACTTTCTGGGAAAGTTGAGAGTTAGAATTAATGGAGGAAAGTATACTGATTTTGTGAATTAAAAACAAACAAAAAACTGTGGGTGACCAGTTAGCTCAGTTCGTTAGAGCGTGGTGCTGATAACACCAAGCTTGCCAGTTTGATCCCCGCATGGGCCACTGTGAGCTGCGCCCTCCTTAAAAGAGTCAACTCTGCCATGGTAGCATGAAAGCAATGTGTAGCCAATGACCATGGCTGCTCCCCAATTAAAAAACCAAAACAAAAACAAACCAAAAAACTTACAAGTAGAAGAAAAATGAAGAGAATTATAGTGCTCTCTGGACTGTTCTCTGGTGAAGAGAGGTGGCTAGGGCTTAAAAAAAAAAAAAAAGAGGCACAATGATTTAGTTAATAAATACGTCCATGCTAAATAATGATGGGACCAGCTCTTTTCTTCTCTGCATGTTCTGGCACGAATTAATTTTGCACGTATCCCCCACTTGCCTTTACTGCTGTTCCCTGTGCTTCAGGGAGTGTTCAGATACTGCCAACTGGATGTGTACCTGAAGGATTACCACTTCCTGGACACCATGCTGATCTTCATGCTGTACGGCTGGTCTACCATTGCGCTGGTGTACCTGCTGAGCTTCCTGTTTGCGAAAAGCACTTCTGCCTACATCAAACTTGTGCTGTTGAACTACCTCTCAGGCATTTTTGGTCTCCTCATCGATGCCATGTTTGAATTCGGTAAGGGTGACGCCTTTACAGGGCCTTGTTCCCCTGAACGCAGAAGGAAGTCCGTAAGTAGACATGGACCAAGGCTAATAGTAGACAGTTCCCTTCCAGGTGTGGGGAGAACCCTGAACTTGATGTAAGTTCTCCAGGTGTTGGGTTAGAGCTGGGATCTTCATACTGAAGTGATGGACTCAACGTGACCTACAGGTCCTTTGACAAGATCGCTCTTCTCTGTCCTCACAGCCCGTAGCTCTGACCCATGACTTAGGGAATCTGTTTTCTACACACTTTTGGAAATGTTCAGAGCATTTGTCCCCGAGATTCATTTGTCAGAGAAAGAGAGAGAATGAATGAATGCATGAATGCATGGGAGCTAATGAGCAGCTCCCTTCTCAGAGGAAGGGCAGGCCTCAGAAAGTTAGAATAAATTGTATCTCAAATATATTAGACTCTTTTTATTTTAAAAGTGTTGTCCCTTGGAGCTGTGGCACTTTGTAGTGATGAGAGAGGGAAGAGCAGAGAGGAATCTTGAGTTCTTGGGAGGGGCCAGCAGCTTTGTTCAGGAAACGTTTTATGGTGTGGCTCTGCTTCCCTAACTTAATGAAAAGGCAAAGAGCCTGACAAAAAGCATTTCCTTTAAAAAGGAACTCAATGAGAGGGAGTGCCACTCCTAGTAAATGTTACACATTAGGTCTTCATCAGCTCCATCATGTAGAAAAGTAAGTCAAATATATGCAGAGTGGAAAGAAAGACGGGGCATTATTTTAAAATGCTGCCAAATTTCAGGTCCTGTTACCGGAATATGAAGAACAGACACAGAGGCTAATCAAAAGAGCACATAGGGGGGCCTGCCGGGTGGCGCAGTTGGTTAGAGCTCGAGCTCTGAGCAATAGGGTCGCTGGTTTGATTCCCACATGGGCCAGTGAGCTGCGCCTGAGCTGAGCTGCTGCTGAGCTACCAACAGGTGGCAGGATGGCTCAGTTGGTGAGAGCGCATGCTCTTAACAACAAGGTTGCCGGTTCAACTCCCGCAAGGGATGGTGGGCTGTGCCCCCCGCAACTAAGATTGAAAGTGATGACTGGATTTGGAGCTGAGCTGCGCCCTCCACAATTAAGCTTGAAGGACAACAGCTCGATTTGGAACTGATGAGTTCTGGAAAAAAACACATTGTTCCCCCATAAAGTTAAAAAAACACATAGGAATTACAGCCTTGCCTAGAATTCTCTAAAGAGACTTGGTATTCCTTCAGGATACATCAAGATGGCCACACCAGTTGTTTCCAGAAGTTTACAGTTTAGTGGATCGATATTGTGTTCTGAGCAGTCAATGCCCTTGCTGAACTGGATGAAAATTCTGTTTAATAACACATTTTTGTCAGCTTTAACCTTTCCCCATCCCTAAAGAGGCAGCCATCATTTTGTCAAGTAAGATACGCTGTTTCTCTTCCTCACCTGAAAAGATCTTTCTCTATTCTTTGGAGGTGAGAAGAGATGTATGATTTTCTACAGGGTGAGGCCAAAAGTTACCAGACTATATCTGTCCAGTGTAATATGGTAGCCACTAGCCACCTGTGGCTCTTTAAACCTAAAGTTTAATTTACTGATATTAAATGCAATTTAAAATTCAGTTTCATAGCCACGCTGGCCACATTTCAAGTGGCCACAGTAGTCATCTGTGTATATTACTGCAGCTATAGAGCTTTTCCATAATTGTGAGAAGTTCTATTAGATACTGCTGGTCTATAAAATTAGCGCTATTTTTGGCATCTGTTCAAGGGGCCAATATCCAGAATTCTTTCCTCTGGATGAATTATTTGTCTTTACATCAAGTTAAGATCTCCACAGGACAGAGTTGCCATGGCATTGGTGCTTGAGTTTTCCCTCTTTGGTCCTCTCTCTGTGCTCAAAGTATCTTATGTGAACTTTGTTTATCTGAGCTTTTTATCTTCTTCCCCCTCAAAAATGAATTCATTATTAAAATGCTACAACGGCCATTTATAAATTAAACATGTCCATATCTCCAGGAATCTAGCCTCTAATTATTATTCATGTTAAGTGCATTCTTTGTGGGAAATGTTAGTTACCTGTCAGCTGGTCTCTTTGAAGATTTCTCTACTCTCCAATGTCATCATGTCCCTATCTGTTCCCTGCTGTTGGATTCTAGGCTGTCTCCTACCTTTACCTTCCTGACTTGATCAATTAGGTTTAGAAATGTGAAGACTAGACAATAGTGGTTTGCTGTTCATATCAGGTGCCAGGCAGACTTCACCAAAAAGACTTATCAGAGCCCTGCAGTGATCAATACAAACTGTCATCAGCAATCAACTAAAACAAACTGGGAATTCATTAATGTTCTTCATATATAATTGTCTGGATTTTCATTCCCTGAGCTTGGTTTGATCATAAATTGGAGGGTTGGATGTCCTGGGGATAGTGCATTTCCTATAATGAAACCTAATCTCATCATCATTTTAGAAATTCCACAAAGAGTGTCAAATGCTACCAGGACCTTCATACTTAAATCGTTACTGCTCTTCCCCAATTACAACCTGGCCAAGTGCATCACTTACTATTCTGCCTTCTACGAGATGAAGAAATGGTGCTCTGTACAAAATGCTGGTGCCTATTTGAATTGCGGTACAGAAAGTGAGTATCTTGGGGGCCCCTAAGTCTCTAGAAAGTTAGTTTCAGGCTCAGCCCATGAGACATGTGGGGAATCTGCCCTTATTTTGCAGGCGAGAGCCAGGATACATGGTTAGTACATAGGTCATTTTACAAGCCTAGGGGCGAAAACCCTGTGTAAATATATATTGGGTCATTGGGAAAGTCATGACGTCTTTTTCTATGTTTTTTGATGCAAAAAGGCGTCATGACTTTCCCGACGACGCAATACAATAAAGCCTCAGAAGCAAATCCAAGGTAAGTTTAAAGTAGCCTTCAGATACAGACCTAAGAGCTACTAATAGTCAACCATCTAGTAACTTTGCCTACTATTTAAGTCTTCACAACGTCAAGCTGTCCATTTACATACTCCTTTTGAGGAAACTGTGCCCTGTGTTCACACAGCTTGTATTGGCCAGAACTGGGATGCAAACCTGAGGTTCTTTCATTGCATAATGCGTTTCCTCTATGGCAGAGACCTCCTGGGAAATGATTTGTATTGTATAATAATTGCATTGTGTGCTCTCGTTGCCGCCCACCTCCATCACCACTCAGAATCACACATACTCACCTGCTCACAAGTTATGTGAAGGAATGGGTGAAATTCATTTCCCAGTGTCCAGTATAGTATCTGGCTCATAGAGGAAGTCAACTGGTTTTTCTTGTTGTTTAATATATAGGTAAAGGTTACGGTGTAGTGATTTGAGAGATAGAGAGTAGTACAATGGAGAAAAGAGCCAGACATGAAAGGAAAAGGAAGACAAACAGCACTGCAGACTAAAAAAGGAAAGGGTGAACATTCATTTATAAATCCCTAATTGTGGCACTGTATCATTTATCAGATAATTTTGAAAATATTTTATGTAAGAAGGGTAGGAGTACTTCCTAAGCCAGCACCTACCTAGAACAGTAGCCAGTGACTTCAAAGGGTTTAAACAGCTATAAACTGCATGACAATAAACTTTAGGGGAGGATGGAGCAAGTTGGGGAAAAAATCGGAACAAACGTTTCATGTAAAATCTAGTGACAGGAAAAGTCATGGTATTATTAAAGCATAATTCTAAAGCATGAAGAATGGAAGAGGTAAAATAATACTAGATATGACAGTCTACTCAAATCTAAAAGAATCCCGATAAAACTATTAGACTTTACAAGAATTTAATGTCCTCAATGAATGCAAAATAAATACAAACATAACATTCAATTGCATTTCTATGTATCAACTGCAAACACTTATAAGATTCTTCGAAAAGAGTACGATGGCCAAAACTAGAGCAATTTGAGCAACGAAATAACATAGTATCGGATTGTAACCCGAAGTAAAAATTACATAATATGAATCTATTTTTGTTATAAGGAAATAACTAACTAAAGAAATGGCAAAGAGAAAACTCTCCCATAGAATTCCAAACCATTTCTGTAGATACTCAAAGCGGGAGCACAACGTCCCACTCTCTCTGTGTGGGAGGTACAGTATGACTTCCTTCCAAAGATTGCAGAGTATGGAAAGGGAGTGAAAGGAGTAACTTGACAGCAGAGAAAACAGACAAATGCCACTGCAGATAATCCACATCAACATCAACAATGATAAGTCACGTTGATGGTATGAACCCGTTTTTGATGCAATAGAAATGGCATTTAACCTCAATGATCTTCCTCCCCCAAAACCACAATCCCAGTCTCATCATGAAAAAAAAAAAATCAGATCACAATTGCTACAGATCACATCCTACAGAATACCTGACCGGTACTACTCAAAACTGTCAGTGTCATCAAAAATAAGGAAAATCTGAGAAACAGTCAGCCAAGAGGTACCTACGGAGACATGACTACTCAATGTAGTATTCTGGATTGGATCATGGAACAAAAAAGAACATTACATTTTTTTTTAATGAGGAAATCTGAATAAATCATGGACTTTAGTTAACAGTCATGTATAATATCTGTTCATTAATTGTAACATGGATCGTACCAATATTAGTGATAAGAGAAACTGGGTGCAGGGTAGGTGGATTTGCCTGTGCTCTCCTCACAATTGTTTTTTGTTTGTGTTTTGTTTTGTTTTTTGGTAAATCTAAAACCATTCTGAAAAATAATTTTGTGTTTTTTTTAAAAGGAAGGCACATTTATAATTCTCTTATAACAGGAATTCTGTGCCTTTTACTCAATTTGTTTTTTAAGAATGTTCAAAAAGTATCAGCTAATGGACCTTTTTTACCTTTTTAAAGCTTAGTGTGTTATCCCTTGCAATACTGTTTACACTTTAATACTTCTAATTATCAATTTAAGATATCTCACTTCTGAAAGGATTTGGGGCCTATTTTTCATGGCATGCAATAATTATTAGACATATAAATAGTCATAGGCTTACTTGATTACCCTACATTATATTCATGAAGATCAGCCTTCAAACTTTATTGTTCAGATGGTATTTGTTAGCGGAACAATCCCTTCTCACTCTTAAAATTATTGTCTCAATTTAGCCTAACGTTTCATTTTTATCCTATATTTCATCCTATTTGTTCTTTTCTCAGGCCTTGTTCATGGTGTCAGTATGCTGCAGTAAGATCTCTCACTCGCTCTCTCTCTCTCTCTCTCTCTCTCTCTCTCTCTCTCTCTCGTTCTCAGATATTACAAAGAGTATTTATTCTTTGGAAGAGAAAATGATTGGAAAGTATATAATTATGATGAGCTGCATAGGCTTTATCGGCCTTCTCTTGGTTTTCTTTTGGGAGATGACTTTGTGGAAACTAAGAATATTTTTCAATCAACACGTTTACTTTGGTATCTATAAGGCATGCAGGAAGGTGAGTAATTAAGCATGAACCTTAAGAATTACTCTAAGAAATTGCAACATTAGGCCTGAAAAGCATGTAGCTACACATGACTACCTCAGTTACTGGAGAAAAGAGAACTCAACGTCCACAGAAATATATTTTCTTAAATAAAATTTGTTAAAGTGTAATTTACCTATAATAAGCTGCATTCGTTATGTCGATCATTTCAAAGAACCAAATTCTGTTTATTAACTTGCTCTCTTATTGACTATTTTCTCTGTCATTGATATTTTTGGTTTTTATTTTTATAATTTCTTTCCTTCTACTTACTTTTGGTTTACTCCCCCCTCCTTTGTTCTAGTTTGTTTATGGGGAAAGCTGAAGCCATAGCTTTTAGAGCAGCGGTTCTCAACCCTCCTAATGCCACGACCCCTTAATACAGTTCCTCATGTTGTGGTGACCCCCAACCATAAAATTATTTTCGTTGCTACTCTATAACTGTAATTTTGCTACTGTTAATAATCGTAATGTAAATGTCTTTTTGTTTTCCGATAGTCCTAGGCGACCCCTGTGAAAGGGTCGTTCGACTCCTAAAGGGGTCGCGACCCACAGGTTGAGAACCGCTGTTTTAGAGCTTTCTTCTTTTCCAATATAACATTTAATGCTAAACATTTCCCTTTAAGCAGTGCTCTATCTGTACCCTGAACAAAATTAGATTTTTTAATAATTTTATTATCATTCAAATGTTCAAAGGATTTTCTAATCTCCTGTATTTCTTTTTTTGATGCATGGATTTACAAAGGCTTTAAATGGTTATAATTCAAATAATTTTCACCAGTTTCACTCGGGCACAGGTTCACAGATTCCCTCATACTGCCATTCTGTCAGTCTTAACATTTTTCTATTTGAGGTTTTAGGGATTCATTTCTCTCTCTCCCTCATAAAAGAAAGACTTAATCCTTTAGTCTTTCAACATTAAACATACTGTGATTGGCACTAAATCACATTTGATCTCAGTTGTGGCTTCAGTTTTTCTCGTGTATCTAATTCTGGAAAAAACGTCAGGCTGTGTAATCCTAATTTCTGAATCTGTGCAAATAAAAAAATTAATCTGTTCTGAAGTGATCGGACAAAATGATCTTAAAATTATGCTAAATTTCTGTTCTAACATCTTGAGATCAGCTTCCTGAAGCTGCCTGGTCTAGTCAAAATTACTAAAAAGCAATATCATCTTGTAATATTTGTTTTGAAAATATAGATCATAGGGACCAGTGAGTTTCTTAGGAAAAGTCTAGTTAAGTCTTGCTGATTTTCTATACCCCCATTGCAGGTTAATTTGGACAAAATTTATTATTAAAAATTCATGACTGTATTCTTTAGAGTTCCCCACCCTCTTCAGATGACTTCCTTTTTAAGGATACAAGTGATAAAAACCATTTATCGAAATACTTTAAATTCTGTCCTAAAGATTTAGGGTACACTTCTTAGCATGTTAATTCATACTCTTTCTAGTATGTAAGATAACTTTTCCTTCTCCTCTGGTTCCCACCCTCATACTACTGATGAACTATTTATTATTCAAAACTTAGTCAAGATGTACATGAGACGCTGAGCTGATGTCCAGAACTTTCTTGAACTGAGTCAAACCTTCTGTTTGGACATCTTTGAGCTTACCCCCCAGTTGAGCTTTCAGGAAGCCACAGTCTAGGCCAGACACCTAAGGACCACCCATGTCTGTGATTCTTATCTTGAAAATCTAGGAAAAGTTGTGCAAAGAATTATCCGGAGAATGTGAAGACGAAGATGTGGAAAATGAAAGACAGAGAATCCTGGGCCAGCCACAGGAAGTGCTGAATTCTGCAGTGCTTATTAAGGAGCTCACAAAGGTAACGGGAACATACGGTGGGGGCGGGGCAGGTCGTGCTACACACGGCACTGCTGAACATCATTACGGTCACCTTCCAAGTCCTCCCCTTGGGAAGCTATGCACTGACGCCAGCGCCTAGTCCACCTTTCAAAGCAATTTTGGAACTCTTTTTCTGGAACGGCCATCAGAGCCGTCGTCGGATTACCCTTGATGTCCTGAATGTCATCAAAATGTCTTCCTTTCAATATTTCCTTTATCTTTGGGTAAAGAAAGAAGTCATTGGGGGCCAGATCAGGTGAGTAGGGAGGCTGTTCCAATACAGTTATTTGTTTACTGGTGAAAAACTCCCTCACAGACAGTGCTGTGTGAGCTGGTGCATTGTCGTGATGCAAGAGCCATGCATTGTTGGCGAAAAGTTCAGGTCATCTAACTTTTTCACGCTGCCTTTTCAGCACTTCCAAATAGTAAACTTGGTTAACTGTCCATTTGAATAATCCCTAATGAATAATCCCTTTAATATCAAAAAAAGGTTTGCAACATCGCTGTAACAAGTTCGCAAACTTAATTGTCAGACCACGTATGCTGGTTTCAGTCCTACCTGAGAGCATGTCCCTGGTGTCCAGTGCTCACTGCAGTTCTTGGGGATTGATGTCTATGTTCCCAGTGTAATAGAAGAGTCCACATGAGACTGAAGTAGTGTAGTGGTCTGTAGGGCTCTGAGCCAGTTATTGTATTTGTCCTACAAATATTCTTTACTATATTGTGTTTTCTGGTTTTGTTTGTTTGTGTTTTAGATATATTTTAAGTTTCGGGTCATTCTGGCTGTGAAAAATATCTCCATTGCAATCCAAAAGGGGGAATGCTTTGGATTGCTTGGATTCAATGGAGCTGGAAAAACGACTACCTTCCAAATTTTGACTGGAGAGGAGGCTGCTACCTCTGGGGATGTGTTCATTGATGGTTTGAACATCACTGACAATATCCAGAAGGTAAGACGCTATTATAGTCTAAGATGTGAGAAGCATGATATTAGCTTGGGGGTGCAAGTCACAGGCAGATGGCGGGAGATACTAGATGGGAGTTAGGGCAGGCACTGATGTTGGTACTGTTGACTCGGTAGGTTCTGCAGAGAGAGAGACATTGTTGAAGAGAGTAAGGCAACAAGAGGAGAATGTAAGACAAGTATTTTTCGTGTTCTTTGAAACTGTTGGCAAGGGACAAGTTCTCTCCACAGTGCTTCTAACATATGCCAGACAAGGTGCTGTAGGGAAGGAAAGATTGGGCAGGAGGAGAAGATGGCCGATAGTTTAGTTACAACTGAAGCCTTGATCTACCTTCGAGCTCTGGAACAGGGTGGCCTTCTGGAGCGGCCTCAAATTGAAACAAGGTAGCTGGCCTTTGGATCCCTGCCAAGCCAGCCATTGGCGGCACATGCCACCTGGGGGAGAGGGCCTAGCGGTGAAAAGACACCAAGTGGGGAGAAACCTCCAGGAAGAAGGAAATGGTGGAAGGTGTCAAATTCAGGGAGTCTCAGGCAAGCAAAGCCTCCTGAAGTGTCCCCTGGCTTTAGGAACGAGAAGTCATTGACAGAGCAGCAAAGACTGTCGCCCTGGGGTAGGTTGGATGGCGGTATTGGGAGCCCCTTTCAGTTCACTGAACACTGATCAGGTAACTGGGGGCCGGGGGCAGGCCTGCTGTAGGATCCACAGTAGTCTGGTAACTGAAATGAAGCTAAGAAACTGGATTGTATGTTGAAGAATGTTATCTGTGAAGCAAAGGGAAGGAAACAGGCTATTTGATACATTGAACAATTGGATTACACTTATACTAGATGGGAAGAAGTTGAGGGAATAGAAGAAGTGATACCTGATGACAGAAGGTGAGTGGGTCATGCCAGGTGGTTTTTGGGGTAGAAGGGGTGCGAATGGGGTCTCTCCCTAAATACCCTTATCCATACCACTTATCAAATCCCCTTGGGGGACATGGGGTTGTGTAACCAGTCCCCTGACTATGAGGAATGAAAAATAAAAAAGGTTCAATGAAGATGGTGCCAAAGAGAAAAGGCTAAATTGGGAGCCAAAGAGAGAGTGTCTCTCTGTCAAATTTAAAAGAGAGACAGGCATACAGGCAAATCTAAGCCTCTTGCAACAAAAGATTCAGGAAGTCTGGGGAAGCCCTTTCAGGCTCAGGGGATCTCTCCAAGTGGGCTGTTCTGAAACACGACAGATGGTGGTCTTTTCATTTCCTCAGGCTTCAAAAACGTGTTTAACACTGTCCATTTTATTGTTGTAAGAAATCCGTAACATAAAATCGACCATTTTAAACATGTCTGAATGCACAATTCATTGGCATTCAGTATATTTACATTACTGTGCAGCCCTCACCACTGTCCATCTCCAGAATGTTTTCATTGTCCCAAGATGAAAACCTCTTACCTATTAAACAGTAACTCCCCCTCCTTTCTCCATCCACTGATAACCACTATTCTACTTTTTGTTTCTATAAGTTTGATTTTCATATCAGTAGAACGATGTAATATTTGTCCTTTTATGTCTGACTTATTTCACCTAGTATAATGCCTTCAAGGTTCACCTATGCATCAGAATTTGATACCATTTTAAGACTGAATAATATCCACTCATCCATTAATGAATATTGGGGTTGTTTCCACTCTCTGGCCATTGCGAATAATGCTTCTCTGAACATTGGTGTACAAATATCTGTTTGAGTCCCTGCTTTCAATTATTTGGGATATATTCCTAAAAATGCATTTCAAGAGCATAGGGTAATTTGTTTAACTTTTTTGAGGAAACAGCATACTGCATTTCTTAGCGATTACACCATTTTACATTCCCACCAGCAATTCACAAGACTTCCAATTTCTCCACATCATCACTAACACTTGTTATTTTCTGTTTTGTCAATAATTGCCATCCCAGTGTGTGTGAAGTGGTATGTCATTGTGGTTTAATTTGCATTTCTCTAATGATTTGATGTTGAGCATCTTTTCATGTACTTAATATTCCATTGTATACATGCACCACAATTTCATTATCCTATCGTCTATTGATGGGCATTTCGATTGCTTCCATATCTTGGTTAAATAGCATTGCAGTGAACATAGGGGTGCATATATCTTGAATTAGTGTTTTGGGTGTCTTTGAAGACAAATCCACAAAAGGGTTAGTTAATTGATAAAGCAACACTCATTGAATTCTTCTGTTTGTGGGAGCAGTGGAAGGCTTTGCTTCCGGTTCAGCCTTACTATGTAACGAGGTCTACAGGTGACTGTGTAACTTCTGCAGGGCAAAAACAACCATGTGGCCACGTCCCTTGGAATTTCTCATTAATGAGGGGAGCATCTCATATTCTAATACTGCTCCAAATTCAGTGGCCTGTGGGATTTTATTTCTAACTTCTTCATCCCGAAGATTATTAAAACTGAATTGGGGAACCTCTCATTCCAATTTATTACAACAGATCCAGTAGCCAAAATGTGGCCTTTAGTAAAGAAGACTTCTTGGTAGTACTCTTAGAGATGTGGTCTGGGGGGGTGGGGGAGGGCTGCAGGTCTTCTGTCTCATTCAAGAATGCTCAGTGGTTGGGGCCGGCCGAGTGGCTCAGTGGCTCAGTCGGTTAAGGGCCTAAGCTCTGAGCAACAGGGCAACTAGTTCGATTCCCACATGGGTCATTGAGCTGTGCCTGAGCTGAGCTGCTGCTGAGCTGCCAACAGGAGGATAGCTCAGTTGGTGAGAGCACGTGCTCCTAACAACAAGGTTGCTGGTTTGACTACCACATGGGACGGTGGGCTATGCCCACCCGCAACTAAGATTGAACACGGCACCTTGAGCTACCTTGAGCTGAGCTGGCCTGAGCTGCTGACAGGTGGCCGGATGGCAACTGGACTTAGAGCTGAGCTAGCTGCACCCTCCACAACTAAGATTGAAGGACAACAACTTGTCTGTTCCCCTTCCCCAATTCCCCAACACTGTTCTCCTTCTCCAATTCCCCAATAAAATTTTTTAAAGAAGAGAAAAAAAAAAAAGAATGCTCAGTGGGACAGGTGACTTGGGTCCTTATTACGGCAATTCTTGTAATCAGGTGAAGTCAAGAATTGGCTATTGTCCTCAGACTGATGCCTTGCTGGAATACATGACTGGTCGGGAAATAATGACCATGTATGCCAGATTATGGGGAGTCTCTGAGCCCCAGATTCAGCTGTATGTGAACAAATGGTTGAATTCGCTGCAACTGGAGCCCCTTGCTGACAAGATTATCAGCACCTACAGGTGAGTCAGTATGCGGATGTTTTTGTTGCTGCTGCTGCTGTGCCTTCTGTGTTTCTGATGTTTGAAATAAATGCCTTAGCTCCACCTAACTCCCTCTGCCACACAATTATTTGTGAAACTATATAATGAGTCACAAGATTAAAATGCAGTAAATATGACAGATCAGTGTGGTTCCAGGTCTTTCCTTTGCAGAAATGAAACTCAAAATCCTTGTTAGGTTTGAACTGTAGCATCTGAGACTCAGAGGAGAGCATCTTATTATTCCCAGTGTCTGTATGGTTCTTTGTTTGCTAAGAAAGAGGGATGTAGACCCTTTAAATTATCCTATTTATGTACCTGGGAGATCATGCCACCCTAAGAACTAGTAAATAGATGCCACTGATAATACTGCTACAATCAGTTATATCAAAGTCACTCCTCCACATTTCAAATGAAAAAAATAATTGATATATACACCTGAGCCTGCTACCCTGTAGAAGTCACATCCAATCAGCATTGTGGGTGTCCATGTTAAGTGTTTGCTGAGATTCTTAGCATTTGAGATGTTTGTGTTAACACTGTCTTATAAGTAATGGATTTGTATATCATCCCCTTTCCCTATATTCTCTCACCTTCTATGACCACGAAGTGGAGGAAGCAAACGTAGGTTGAGTACTGCTATTGCCCTCATGGGGAAACCCTCAGTCATTTTGCTGGATGAGCCATCAACTGGCATGGACCCCGTGGCCCGGCGCCTGCTCTGGGATGCGGTGACACTGGCACGTGAAAGTGGCAAGGCCATTATTATAACCTCCCACAGGTGTGACTCCTTGAAAGGCTTGGAAGAGGGTTGGCCAGCACGGTAGTGGTTGTGAAAATTATTTGGGCCTTGGAATATTGGACAGCAAGCTTGCTTGAGTATGTGAGTTCCTTCTTAATTCTAATGAGTGGAAGAGTCAAGAACCCTCATTAAATCACCAAGCGGGGGGAGAGGACAGGTTGTTGTGTTTGAGGATTTCATCCTCTACAACTTACCATTCGAAAACTTTCCACTTCCCAACGACAAGCTTCACGATCGGCAAATTCCACCTCCCATTTGAAAACAGAGCCATGAAATCCTGGCGCTGTTTGAATTAGGGAAGTTCTGCCCAAAGGAAACTTTTTAAGTTTTACATCATTCTTGTATCTTGTTTTGCTAGGATGGAGGAATGTGATGCCTTCTGTACCAGGCTGGCCATCATGGTGAAGGGAAAGTTCATGTGCTTGGGCAGCCCTCAGCACCTCAAAAACAAGTTTGGCAATATTTACAACCTGAACATAAAGGTTAAGATGGATCTGCAAAAGCATGAATTGGATGATTTAAAATTTTTCATCACAATGACATTCCCAGGTAAATTAGGTTGGGCTGCCTTTGTTCAATATGTATTAAATCATGTTTGTTGTTCTTGCTGTGCATACGTTCTATGTCTTCAATAACTCTTTCCTATAGATTATTAATATTTATTCGCTTCCATGCTGAATTCCTCTTGGGATCCTTCTTTCTACAACTTCTTGTGCCTAGTTAGGGTAACAAGTTTTATACACATAAAAAGGTTCACCCTAACCTCCTCTATCGCTTTAATAAGGCAGTTTAGGATTTCTTCTGTCCATGTCAATTTTATCTCTAAAGTCATACTTATCGTAATTCTCAGTTATTTTCACGTATTATCCATGCAACATTTTGAGGCTTTTGTCTGGCAGCTAAGCATGTCACTCTGGTGTTTTGGTCTCTGCCAGGATATGGTATTACAATGCAAACAAGAACCAGTAAGCTTTCCTCTCCTTCCAAAAGTAAAATCAGTAAGCCCCTCTTGCCTACCTGGTACAATAGAGAGACAGAAACAATTTCTCTCTGTCTCATACCTCTCCTTCCTAAACATCAAGCAGGGCCATGGCAAGGCTCTGAATACTTCTGGCTTTTCATCTTAGTTTCCACTTGGCTAGGCTGAGCAAAATATCACAGAGGTTCCCACTGTGTGTGAGGCTGAGGAGTTGGATGTTATCTCTAGGCGATGGAAAAATAGCAGGATCAATTACACGGTAAGCATGGAGATCAGAAAATAGCTAAGGAGTGAAGGCAGAGCCAATGTGGAGACCAGAGATAGGGGGGGAATAATTCCTCAGTGTCAGTCCCAGCGATGATGATATGCCTGTGACACGTGCACATGGGTATGTCCACTAAGAAGTTCAGTCTTCACTTACGCATTCATTCAGCAAATATTTTTTGAGTACTTATGGCATCAGGGGTGTTTTTCATGTGGCCCCTAAACTGCCACAAAGAGGAGTTATGACCAAAAAACCTTATTGATTGGGAGCTGTCCTAGCAACTTGCCTACCTACAGAGGAACGCTAAACACCGACCCGAGCCCTCTCATCGGCAACGTGGACACAAGTGTGTGCTTTCATGGGAAGGTGGGTTAAAACCAAACACAGAGCCTCAAGCAAAATGAGGAAACGAATATGTTCCAAACAAAAACAGACAACGAAACCTCAGAGGAAGACCTCAGTGGAACAGAGATTAATATTACAGTTGCAGTAGCTGAATGGAAAATAAACTGTGGAATACTTATACACCAGATTATAATTTAGAAAGGAAAATGAATTTTAGCTAGATGCAACCACATGCATAAATCTTACAAACATTGAGTGAAAGAAGCAGAAAGAAAAGAATATACAGTAGATCAGGCGTCGGCAAACTTTTGAGACCGAAGAGCCGCCTGGGGTCAGCAAAGTGCGGCTCGCGAGCCACATGCGGCTCTTTGGGTACGTACATGTGGCTCTGAAGTAAAATTGAAAATGAAAACAAAACTATCATAGTTTCATTTATAAACATTTTAAAGGATATTATTCACATAATGGTGATTTCATTTGTTTTGGCTCTCAAATAATTTTTAAATTGTTGTGAGGGACAGGATTGGCTCTTCCAGGGGTCGGCAACCTTTTGAGATGGAAAGTACCCAAAAAGCCGCATGTGGCTTGCGAGCTGCAGTTTGCAGACACCTGCATTAGATGATTCCATTCACATAAAGTTCAAAAGGGGGAAAACTCTGCCTAAATTTTCAAGGGTGCATGCATAGGTTAAAAACACACTAAAAAAGAAATGTCCATAATAACCGTGAAGCTATTGCTTATTTTTCATGGGGGACAAACGCTTGGAAGTGGCACATGGAGCTATCTGGGTTACTATTACTTGACCTAAATGGGGAGGCTTCCTCTGTGTTTGCTTTGAATCACTCATTAAGCTCTCTGTCTGAAATATTACACAAGAAGAGCTTTAGGTTATCATGGAGACAGTACATGTGTTAAAATCCATATTAAGAAAATCCAAACACCATTATAAACATGTAAATAACTTCCACACATTTTAATCCCAATTCATCCAATCTGCAGTAATCTGCAAATATGCATTAAGTGTAAACACATCAGTTTGTTCTAAGTTAGAACGGAGTTCTTACCTGTAAAAGAATCAGGAGCACACAGCCTGACTTAGGGGATGTGTGCGTATGATTCCCCCTTTCACGTGGCAGGTAATCACAGCTAGGAGGCCTGGTCCTGCTCCCCACACTGTGCCCGCCTACCTCCTCACACGGCCCGAGTCAGCATCCTCCCAGCTATCTGTTCAGGAATAAAGCCTTGCAGCAACATTAGAATTTTAGAAGTCTCCGGTGTCATTCCCTGGGCCCGTGAGCTGACATGTTTTTGTGCGTGCCTGAAAGCCTGCTCTCAATAATTGTTATGAGCTTCACATAACAAGACTGTTTCATCAGGAACAAATGTGCTGAAAGGAATTAACCGTGTCCTGTGTACCAAAGAGAGTGGGTTATTAATGAACGAGTCCCCTTTCGTCATAGGACATCTAGTTGCCGTTCTATTATAGGTAATTGAGTAGATGTGGCAATATTTTGGCAATTCTAAGTGAAACCTGTAAGATGACTCACTCATCCTATCTTTCCCTTCTTAGGTAGCGTATTAAAGCAGCAGGACCAAGGGATCCTTAATTACTACATTCCCAGCAAGGACAATAGCTGGGCAAAGGTGACTACAGAACCATGCTCTTCTAATATTACATGTTCAGGGAGCACTAATGATGGGAAGTATTCGGGGAAGGGGAACCTGGTGTTACTGGGGAAGCAGAGACTTTAGTTTACTTTCTATGGTCCCTGGAGTTTCATTGCTTCAGGTTTCTAGCTCTAAATCCCATTTTTTGGTCCACGTCCATCAACAGAGTGGGGACAGAGAACTGCTTCCTCTCAGGTCCTCAGTGATCTACTCCGCCTACGTTCTCATCTCCCCTCTTTCTGTGCCCTTTTTCCTTCAACATTAACTTCGCGGGAATTGGAGGCAGTGTGGAGGAGAGGCTCGTCCGGGTTGGGGGCTGGAGGGGAGGGCTGCAATGGTAACTGTGCTTTCTTGTTGTTGTTGAAGGTGTTTGGTATTTTGGAGGAAGCTAAAAAGCATTTAAATTTAGAAGATTATTCTATCAGTCAGATCACGCTGGAACAAGTCTTCCTGAGCTTCGCAAGCCTGCAGAACACAGAAGATGATCGAAGATGATTCTAAAGCAAAGTTGCCAGGAGACTCAGCTCCAACGGGTGACCCTATGTCTTCTTAGGCCACTGCCCACTACACCCGGACACAGAGAGGGCCATTCCTGTGTGTGTGTTTGTCTTGGTGTAGCTATATTTATGTAATAAAGAGTCCCCCAAAGGAGAACACAAGTCCCTTCTTTGTAGCTTCACCTGGGTGGCCTGTGTATCCAGCATTTGCAAACTTAAAGACAGTTGGCAATATTCTTGTTTTCTCTCCTAGAAATATGAAAGAGCAGTATTTCTATATTCTCAGTGGGATAGTGTGAGTAATAAGGTGATACCCTGCAGCCATTCTCTGTTCTATTGTTTTTAGCTGGAATCTAACTTTTTTTTTTAAGATTTTTTATTGGGGAATTGGGGGAAGGGGAACAGACAAGTTGCTGTCTTTTTGTTCTTCAGTCTAGTTGTGGAGGACGTTGCTTCACTGGCCCAAGTTGGCACCGTCATTGCGCTCTTCCTGGGCAAGGCAGATCAGTCGCCGGCTTCTGGACGGCCGCTCACTGCGGCTGCTGGCCGCTCACGCTGGCTGCTGGCTACACACGGTAGCCCATGGCAACCCACTGCCACAGGGGCTGCAACCGTCGCCGTCGCCGTCGACTCACAGCAGCCCAGCTCCAGGTTGAGCTGTTGTTCAGCATCTTAGCTGTGGAGGGCATTGTCACTGGCCCTCATATGTGGGATCCGAACCGGGGCCCTCTGGCATCCCAAGCCAGCTCTTAACCAATGCGCCACTCCACCAGCCCTGGAATCTCACTTTTTATGAGTTCCGTTCCTGTGCCCACCATAGATCTCTGGCCAAGTGATTTTGCTAATTGCAAAGTTTGTTTCCCAGGCTGGCCATCTTTAACCTCCCTGGCGGTCTGATTATGTCAGTAATTTTATACCCAAAGCGGTACATTGTTTTGCATGGAAATTTGTTGTTTTATATTGTAGGCCTGTAATTCTTAGGGATTACTCACTTAAATCTGTCCAAACAAGAGTCTAGTAGGCATCCCAGGTATTTTAAAGTTTGAAACACAAAATCATAAATTATAATATACTAAATAATTATTAAAAATAATATAATTTTATTCTATAATGTAATCAAATAAAAAACACTGCAATTTGTCATCGGCCGGCGTTCTCATCGGTGATCACAGGAGGACACTGCAGGATCACAGGGAGCAGGTAAGGGACTTCTCTGGGACACTGCAGTGTAATCCCGAGTGTGGCTCGGGGTTACTGCTTCTGGCAGTGAAATTAATCCCAAGCCACACTCGGGATTACAGCCAGGGTAGTTAAAAAGGGAGAGAGAAGTCGTTATTACTAAGCTCTTGCATGTATAGTCTCCAAGTTGGTTTCCTTACTGACCCTTGAAAAAATTCCTTTAGCGTCCCTCCCTATCCCCCAACTCACCTCTTCATCTTCCATCAAGGAGCAAAAAAATGTTGTGTGTCAGGTCCTCCACTAAGCACTTTCCCTATAACGGGATTATCTATAAGGAGGTAAAGAGAACTCGAAAGAATACCCTAAGGCGGAGGGAAAATACCCAAGGAGGACATACATTTGAAGAGAAGGTGTGGTTTTGGCTCATTTGATGGTGGGGACGTTCGCGGGCCCTGGGCCACCCCTGCTAGGCCGGCAGGTAACACCCCGCAGGTACGGGCCGCCTCCGTGAATCACTGGAAGCCACACTTAATGGGGGAGGGGGGTAGGTTCTGCGAATGGTCCCCCACACCTGCCTCAGGCAGCAGCAAGAAGAATCTAAGAGAAAACACCTTAAGCCGAACGGAAGCCCCCTGTCCGGCCGCGTCCTTTCACGCCCTCTTCGGATGAAGCCTAAGGAGCCTGCCCGCTCCGGAGCCCAGCTCCTTCCGGCGCCGAGGGCACCTGCCAGCGGGACGGCGGCGGCACAAGTCGGAGCCCGCGCTTCTAACCGTTAGGCTGCGGCGGGCGTGGGTGTCGGGGCGTCGTCGGCCCCGGGGAGCAGGCGCCAGGGGGCACCTGCGGGCGTGAGCAAGGGATGGAGGCGGGCGGCGCTCACGGGCAGGTGCCGCACGCGCGGAGCGAAGGGTCGCGTGGACCGCGCGCGGCACGCCGTGTCCGCCCCTGGACGGGGCTTCTGGGGCGACCCTGCGCCTCGCCTCTGGAAGGTCCCTGACCCCACAGACACCCACCCCCACCCCCGAGGGCGGCCACTGGACTCGCCTTCAAACTTCCCGCCACCTGCAACTGGGGACCGCGACGCGAGAGGAAGAGGGCAGCGCGCGAGAGGCGGGGCCTCCGGGTCGGGGATGAGGGGAGCGGGACCCGACGTGGGCGCCGCGCGCGGGCCGGAGCGGACGGGGCGGCCTCGGACGGCAGGGCAGGGGCCCGGAGCTGGCGGCCGGGCG